TGGTGGATTAAAGCTCACTGGTGCCCTAAGCACTGACACATTTTGGTCCCCCGCCTCCTTTGTACATACTGTACCAATCTTCATTGGGGTTTCTTTTTCCTTTCTCAACTTTGCCCCTTAGACCTGGTGCCCTAAGCAGCTACTTCGTGTGCTTAATGGTTTAATACACCACTGTCTCCCCCCTCCCCCCAAAAAATCTTTCCCAGCCCCGTGATGGGGAACGACGGCCTTTTTTCCCCGGTTGTTGGGTTGCTCTGCCCTGCTGCTGCCTTCTTTCCAGCTGGCCATTCTTAGGAGAATGCAGTTGCATTGCAGTCGTGACTCTTCTTCTCCCTTCTAGTCGTAGTATTAGGAGCATTGCCATTTCTTCTTCTTCTTCCTTCTTCCTCCTCCTCTAACTATGCCTGTTCAGATCGCTGCGGAGTGTCTATCTCCCTGCAGGATTTCTCTCTCTTTCTCCGTTTTTGCTCTGCGGAGGCTTCGTGCAGGGCCGGTGCTAAGTAAGGGCCTTTTGTCCAGCTGTAGGGCTCTTTTGTAACGGAGGGAAAGACCAGGTTTAGCCCAGCCGTGGAGGCGCCTCCTCCGACAGCCGTAAGCCCTTGAATAAGAATGGCGCAGACAAGCCCCAGAAGAAATTGGTTCCAACGCGCAGCTAAGAAGCTTCCTTGGCCGGCTTTGCGTTCCCAGCCTCGCCGGATGCCTTGGCCCAGACTTAATTCCGGCGGCAGCTGAACTTGAGTCGTGGGAACGCCGTCCACGGGTTCCGCCGCGGAGGCTGCGGGCTGTCTCCAGCCGCAGAGAAGCAAGCGAGGCCGGCCTTTGCTCTCCTCGCAGGGACGCGAAAGTCAATTGCCGCCGTCGGCCCCCCCCCCCCTTGCCCCTTCCCCCCCCCCCCGGGCTTTTCGCTTTTCAAACAGATGGCGCTTGTCCGCTAGGCCCCGGCAACCTTGCAAAGGGACGGAGCCTTTTTCCTGGTGTGGAAGAAGCGGCGGGGAAGCGAGAGAAGGTCTGCAGGGCCACCTTGGCTTCTGCGGGCCTGTA